GAAGTTTATAAATATTGGTGAGATTCCATGTTATTTTCATGTTATTATACAAATATAATTTTAACATTTATTAATTATTTGTAGGTTATGCCTATGAACATCATGGTGTTGAGCAACAATTAGCAGAGATATCATTGCATCATTCACCTATAATAGACGGATTAAAGCCATCCCTAAAGAAAAATGGTCATGTGCATATGACCTTAAAGGTCGACGCTTTGAAAACATGACAACCAACCTTGCAGAGTGCATGAATAGTGTATTTAAAGGTGTTTAAAGTTTATCAATTACTGGTTTAATCAAGGTGACTATGTATAGAGTCAATAACTATTTTGTAAAATGTGCCAAACAAGTTCATGCACAAATTGCAGTTGGTCAGGTGTTTCCTGAGACACTAACAAAGAAGATGGATATAGTAACGCAAGCTACATCCGCGTGTGTTGTTTGAGAGTTTGATAGACTACCAACTGTTGGATAAGGAGGCGTAGCAAAAGATTAACAATTTTAAATCCCTATCTTGATGTGGACCAAATAAACTCATTTAAGTTAAGGTGGATGAAACAATTACCTTTTAATTGCGAGCTCTTCACTTGTTGTCTTCACGAAATTGGATCTCAAAAGTTGATAATGTAGATCTGCTTCCTCTGTCAATATCCACATGAATAACTTCCCAACACGAAGAACATACTAGTGCTCTCTGTATTTAATATCCTTCCATTCGTCAATTTAGATGTCCTTTTCTTTACTAGAGATTTTTTGTGGCTTTCAGAGGTTTTTGCCATCAAGAGACTTTCTCTATTTTTCTATGTCTTTGCACATCCCTTTATAACTATTATATATAGATTAAGATTTTGCCTTCCTCTTGAAAAGCCAACCAAAATTAGATTAAATTTATCTCATAAATAAAATCTATAATATCATATCTAATTCAAATTTATCTTATAAATTTAAACTATGAAAATGATATGATATTCTCTCATATCATGTTAGTTATTAAATTTAATCTATCATATAAAATTAAATTTAAAACTAACACAATATAATATAATATAATATATATCACATATACATATTATATATATACATATACATATATTTCAAATATATATATGTATATATATGTATAGCATATTTATTTAATTTCATATATCATATACATACATACATATGTGTATATATATATATATATATAAAAGATATATATATATATATATATAAACATGAATATATATATATATATTTTAAAATTTTTATTTCATTTAAATATATATACACAAATAATCTTTACCATTAAATGTTGGATGCTCAGGAACAAAATTGCCTCTTTTCCTCTTAAAACAAGCCTAAGGGTGTCTAAACTATCAACCAAGTTTTAATAACCCTAGAACCACTTGAATCAATTCAAATAGGTCACAAAACATCTAATTGAACATTTATATATTATCACACACATTCTAAACACAATATAGTCTTAAAAACCCCGATTTCACAATAATTAAGGGTGTGCACAATATTCATTATAAACATCCCATGGCCATCTAAACACATACAAATACCATAATAATGACACTTATACTAGTATTTTGACCTCTTAAAACAATTCCCCATACATACAATATCTTAAACTGAAATACACCCAAAGCACCAAATTCTCATATAAGTGTATCAAAACAATGCATAATACTAAGTCGGCATCATTTTTCGAATAATTCATTACACAATACACAGAGAAAGAGAGAGAGCTATACAAAACTCAAGCTCTCGAACCCTAGTGGAGTCTCCTTCTCTTTCCCCCTATCAGAGCATTCACCTATAAAATATAATTACAATAGTGAATTGATAACTCGGCAACTAAATAATTTAATCTAACTACTCACATGCAAGAATATTGTATGAGTATGTGAAATGGCAATATAATAAGTTCAATTACCATTAATATATGCACAAATATACGCAACCATAACAAATACATGATCAACAATCGCCTTATATCCTCCTTATTTTCTTTGATTGAATCTGTGGTTAACAATTCAATAAAATTAAATTCAAGTGACTGGATTGGCCTTGCCCAAGCTTATCAATCATGGGAGACAACCTTAGCCAAGGATGCCTTCACCCATTCTCAGCCTATAGATTCCCCCTCTCAAATATTAGGAGTGTCGTATGTTCAATCTATCTTAAATAGTATTAAGACTTTCAAATAAGATAGAATTAAGCATCGAGGCCTCCACAGTAACCAATATACCATATGGATTTCAAACAATAATGTCCCTATAACTTTAGGGTGAGCTCCCTCCTTGTCATAGTGATCATGCTTATACAACTCAATCCAACATAGCCACATACACATGTTAATTTATTCCCAATCATCCACTAACATAACAAATCATACAATTTCACAAGTATATTTATACTTATGATTTTGGCATAAACTCTTTCAAACCTATATATATAAATGTTTATATACACATTTCACTTCACATAATTTTTCAAAATTTCAATTACACATTCATATAAATAATTTGGTCTCTATTTTTCCTCCAAGCCATCTCTTCTCGATTTTCCAAATTTGCTTCATTCATCATCATCAAGCTTCACGTCCTCATCCATTCCTTCAACTCCAGAAATCACGTCCAGAATCTCTTCTTGTTTAGCATTGATTCACATCTAACGCATACCATTTCTAGATTTAGATTTCATCTTCAACTTCTATAGATGCTTCTCAAGTTCAAGATCTCAACCAAGTGATGTAGAGGAGCTTGATTGGCTGATTCAACATTGAGTTCTAAGGAAGACGACTTAGTATTTTGATTTTTTCATATTTGTATTCTTCATTTGCTTTCTCAATTTCATGATCTCTTCTTGTTTCTTTGTGGAATTCGAATTCTATACCTAGTTTGGTTATGAGTTTTGATTCCAATTTCATGGTTAGTTCAAGTTATGGATGTTGAATTGAAGTTTTAATGTTGTGTTCAGTTTTGGAATTCATGGATTGACTTGATATTCCAGGGTTTGTTCATGTTTTATCTTAGGTTAATTGAGATTCTTTATGTTGATTCAAATTTGGAATTCAATGACAAGTGCTAAGGATTCTTACTTGGGTTCTCCATTACACTCATTCATTTCATTACATTCAAAATAGAAATTATAAACACTAGTTTCTAGCATTTTAGACTTACTTTCATTACATGATCAATCTCATATTCTTGTTGACTTGTTGGCATTTGAAATAGAAATTTGTATGCATTGCTCTCTAGGGAGATGACCTAGAATGCTCATTGCTACATTCTAGTTAAATTTGATGACCTTAAGCGACTAGAGTTTCATCAAGCATTTATGCTTCCATAAGCCCTTTTTCTTAAACTTTGAGTTTATGATTAACATGTTTTCAATGAAGTTAGGATTCCATATTTTAAAAATAAATTAAGGGCTTATATCTTTATAATTGTGTTGTAATAATGTTATGACATGTGGTTAGTATAAGTAAAGTCTAGGTGAAAAGTGGGACTTTACAATACAAGGCCCAATTTTCTCTTATATAAGGTTCCGCGCTAGGGCAAGGGGTATAGCCTTTAAGACTCTAAGTGACTGAATGTGGAAGGCCGTTAAGGGGACATTTGATTGTTCTTTGACATGACATGAATCTCACTAGACTGTGCCTAATTATAGCGGATATTTTGCATATGGGCTCCTAATTATTTGAGCAAAACAATCTCAAGCGTACAAAAATAAAAGGGGGTTTAACTAATGAAATCATGGATACAATCAACACGCATAGCAGACTCATTGTTAAATTTCAAATCAAATCTACTTTGTACTTAGGCTTAAACTTTGTCATTTTAATTTCATAGTTGTAATCTTGTCAACTTTAATTTGTATTTCAATTTTACCAATTAAATTACCTTTACATCATTATCTTTGCATCTTCGTATACGTGTGAATTATAAGGAAGCTCGAGAACCTTTTTTATTGTATTTAATACTCCATATTTCTGCTTGGTACTTATATTATTCAAACACAATGAACTATTTGTAATGAATTATGCTTGTTTTACTACTGGAACTTATTAAATAATACTTTCTACATTTTAAATCTTATATATTGACTTATTACAATATGAATTGTGTTTGTTAAAACTCTAATATAACTTGTCATTTTAGTAATACATACATGTGAATTCAATTGCAAAAATTATTAATACCTTATAGATATTACATTTTTGATTTGTTAAGTATATATATGAAGTGGACTTGTGAAAACTTTTATGTAACTTGGTAATACATACTAGCTTGTGAATATTCACTAGTGGAACTTGTTAACCAATATTTTTTGTATATTCAGTCTTATCGATTTATTAACCAAATGAGTTTTAGTCATCTGAAATTGATTTTAACAATTTAGATTTAAAAATTTTAACCCTTCATTTTTCATACAAATTATTTTTTGGCAGTGACAGTTATAAAATTAGCTTTATTTTAAATTTACCTATTAAAATTTTTATCAAATCCAGACCATACAAATGGGCGCTCTTCACCAAAGTGATAAGCATCAAAATTGCATCCCTCATCAACACTAACATAATGTGTTATTTCAACACTACATATTTGTGAATTCATTTGGAGAATTTGTTAACAATATTTCTAGGTGATAAATTTTGATGACTTGTTATGAAAACTTACTTCCTCCGTTACGGCTTTTTTTGGGCTTTTAGCCCCATAGGAAAAAAAAAACAATAACAACAATAACAACAACTCACCCTTATAAGGTGAAGGGCATTTTAGTGAGTAATTTATTAAAAAGTGAATGACATTTTGGTCATTTCATATAAAAACATATTCTCAGTTCAATCTCATAATCTTGCCGTATATTTTCAGTTTTCTATTGGTCCTGGTTTAAAATCAAACACCTACGCTACAGAGCTTTTTACTGAAATTCTCCATAATTTAAAGTTAACAAGAAAGTGTTTGACCAAAAAAAAAAAAGTTAACCAGAAAGTGGACTTCGGTTTCAACAGTGGTTAAATATATAAATTGTCATACAGACTGACATTGGTCCACAAGACCATAACCTTCATTTATTTACTCTTCAACACTCCTTCACGCAACCCCAACTTAAAACCACCCCACAATTAAACTCAAAGCTTATTAATCCTACACAAAAAGCGAATTAAGTAAAGTTTTCAATAAAGAAAACCTCGACTTGAAGCGCAAGCGTACACACACACAATTTAATCGCTCTTCATCATCAATACTCGCTGCTGGAGCTTCCAGGCATCTCAAGATTGACATGATCAGACGAAGAACTTAATGGACAGAACACAACTCTGTAATTTGAACCAGCAGGGCAAGTGAAGGTGCTTGTGGGATCATCCTGAGGATAGCTATAAGAATCGTGACATCTATCTTTGAAGAAATTTGAAAACCTCGTTGGTCCACAGCTTCCTTGTCCTTGAGTACAGCAATACTCGTTTGTCTTAAACACTGTACATGGATTGTTACATCCTCCAGGTGCCCTTAATTCATTGGGACACTGTCCGTTAATGTCGGCCGTACAGCTGATCTTGTGGCAGCCTCCATTCAGAGGGTAGAAATCCATGGGGATATTGAAGCCATCCACTAAGGATATGTCGTAGAAATCTTGGTTGCCAAATTGGTTTAAAGCGAATTCGGCTAGTGTGTTGGGAGGGACGCCCCAGCCAGTGCATTGGAGGCCGCCGGTGCAGTCGCCGGTCTGGCAGCGGCCGCGACCACTGCCGTCGAAGTTGCAGCCGGTGCGACCCCAGATGCGAGCCATGGCAGTTCCGGGATTCACCCAGAGGTTCCATCTCTGGCCGCGGTCAAGGCGGCGGCCACCGCCGGGACTGGCAGCGGCCCAGACTGTGTAAGGACAGTTGTTGACAATCTCGAAGTTGGCTGCGTGGGTGGAGATGAGAGAGAAAGAGAGGAAAAGGAGGGAGAGGAAGGGGAGGGTGGAAGAGGAAGCCATGTTTTGGCGATCAGTGAGATGAGCAGCATGGTCGGGGTGGATATATATACATATAATAAAGAGGGCTGCTACAGATTTTTATTTTATTTTATTTTATTTATTACGGTTGGGGCTGCTATAGTATGATTATTCAGACAGGTTTGGATCTATAGCCTAAATCTACTTTCAATAAGTATTTCATACACTATAATAACAATTATTTAATTTAATTAATTAATTAATTATAAAAAATTTTATTATATAATACTTAAAAAATCTCAAAACTTAAATTTTTTAAAAGAACAACATAAGTGTGTAAAGAGTAGATCCTGAAGGTTGTTTTAAATTTTTTTAAAAAAATATTTTAATATTTTTAAATATTAATTAAATCCTAGTATTATAATTAATACATTTATTAAATGAATGCAGAAAACTCACCAAATTCAAATATATGTATAGGGAGTAAGATGGGGTTTTACGGTTCGTCAACAATTCTTTGAACGGTAAAACCCCATTAATTTTTTATAAATGTATTTGCTTTATTTTTGTACAAAAGGAAAACTTTTAAAAAAAATTATAAATTATAAGAATATGGGGGTGATAATTAAAAAATAATTGTAGGACTCATGGTTAAACAAATAAAATAAATAACAAATAACAAATATGAGATTTGCAATAAAAAATGTGAGTATTGACATGCTATAATACTAATAAATAGTAGATAAAATATAAATCTAAATAAAAAGTTATACTCATTCTATTAAAAAATGTAAAGTATTTTTTAAAAAGTTAAATATTAAAAAATAAAATATTTTTAGTCTTTTAAGATATAATCATTAATTTTTTTAAAAGTATCCCTATTGATAATAACTTTATATTTATTATAAAATATTTAATATAAATAAATATGAAAAGAAATCATTAGTTAAAAAGTATATAACTATTTTTATTGAAGATAAAATTTAATTAAAAATATTTTATTTTTTTTAATGGAGGGAATAGTTTTTATGAATGTATGAAAAAGTTACATATAAGAAGAAATTATCTTTTAAATATGATACACTTAATAATGATAAATTAAAATTTTTTTTAGACAAAACTATTGATTTAACTCATTTCCTTGAATATAGTGAGATGATTAAATTAAAAGAGACTTATATATAAAATAAGTTGGAGTACTATAATATTAATTATGCTATTTACTTAATTTAAAATCATTGTTTAATGTATACATAATTTCTATTTATTCTTATTTTTTGCTATAATTATAATTTATAAATAAAATTATGATATAAATTATAGTATAGCGTTTATTATAGTCTTAAATTCTATTTTTCTTAGAATGATATATGGGCCAACAAATTCTAAATTTAAGAATATTTTTTAATATATATAAGGCCCTAAATGGTTACCTAGTAATAGGGGTAATATATTGTAAAACAAAAATCACTACTTAAATTTTTATTTATATAAGACAATCAAAGGTGGATTTAGGAATATTTTTTGAATTAATTATGAAAAAATTTTAATAAAAAATATATTTTAATTTTATTTCAAAATTTTTTCATATATTAATTAGAGAAAGAATATGTATTTTTTTTAAAAGAAACTGCTAATAATAAAAAAGGCAAAGAAGCCAAAGAAAACAGTATAAATGTTTCAAGGGATTACACATTTTAAGATAAAATAATTATATTATTTTATTTTTAATATATATGGACAAAACTATTTTTACTGTAAAATAAAATATGATTTAAATTTTAATTTATTTAAATAAATTAAAATGTGATATTTTGAATACAAAAAATAAACTATTTTTTAATTTATATATTTTATTTTATTATTTTTTAATATTAAAATAACCTTGCAGTGCGCCCGAAATAAACCTAATTCTTATCTAAGGACAGAGGAGACAGGAGAAGATAAGATATTAACTACAGATTATTACATGTCGTGGTATTTGATTGTGACGTGATGGGACACTTCCTGATGAAAAGTTATAGAATTAAAAAAATATTAATATATTATTCCCAACATCGTATTTTGATTTGGGGCTTGTATATTACTTTAATAAAATTAAAAGATAAATTATTAAGGAAGAATGACATAAAAATTCATTTAAATTAAGCAAATGATAAGTATAATTCTGCTAAAGTCTTTTGAAATCTTTTTGACCTAAACAAAATCTCAATCCTCACTGAAAAAATTTGTAAATTTTTTTGATCTGTCTTGAGTTTTCAGATTTTCAATCTATTTACACCTTAATTCATTATATTTTTCTGGTCTGGCTCCCTCTCCCTCTCCTCCTTCTCCTCCTTCTTCTTGTTCTCGTGTTCCTTTTTTTTTTTAAAATAAATTTCTATACATGAGTTGTTTGTTCTGTTTAGCTGCTGTACATAGGTATATATAAGCAAACATTCTTCCTCTATTGTGTCTGCTGTATATGGATAAATTTCCTCTCCTTCTTGAAATTTTCTCCTCCCATATATGATAGTTGAAGTTGATGTGAGTTGTTGTGCATAAATAATTGAGGTCTTCATTTTCTCTCCATGCTTAAAGCTAAAAAATGTGTGTATTAATGCTTATTAAGAGGATACTGATAAATTATAATTTCTTGATGCATGGCTATAAATTTAGGGACAAAACTTGTTAATATTAGAACCAAAATTGTGAACGGAGACTTATGAATTTCTGACTCTGATGCATGTTTGGACTTGCACACTAAAACTTATGAATAGCTAATAAATTGTTGCGAATTTAGGGACAAAAATTTTTAACCTAGGAACCAAAGTTGTAAATAGAGACTTGTAAATTTCCAAGTCTGACACTTGCTTGAACTTGCACACCAAAACTTACGAATGGCTAATAAATTGTTGTGAACTTAGGGACAAAAGTTGTTAACCTGAGAATCAAAATTGTAAATAAAGAGTTGCGAATTTTTAACTTTAATATTTGTTTGAACTTGTACACCAGAACTTACGAATGATTAATAAATTATTACAAATTTAAAGACAAAACTTGTTAATATTGAAATCAAAGTGAATATAGACTTGTCATTTCTTTTAATTCTCTAATGATAAAAAAATTTCAAAAGATTTCAAGAAAATTATATCATTTTGTGTATTAATTTATCATTTACTCAATTTAAATAATTTTTTTTTTGCCATTTTTCCAATTATCAATGCTATTTTTGTTTACCAAAATTATCAGTGCTTTACTTCAAATGTAATTATTTTAGACAAGGTGAAGAAAAAATCAAAAAATTGAGTAATTTGATTTAAATTGTCTTCATGAAAAAAATGATGAAAAATAATAGAGTTTTTTTTAAGTACTACTAATTTAGTAATTTGTCATGACAATTATTGATGGCGAGGCGGCTATCCCTGTGTCACTGTTCAACCTCATCTTTAATCAGCAACAAGTCAAAACAAACACAAAAAAGGGAAGTAAAGACAACTACTCCAGTTCTTAGCATATTGTGTCCACAAATAATCTATAGATAAGGTTAATTTTTTTTCACTTGTTATATATTTACAATTAAAAGTATCACTTTTTTTTGGGAGGGGTAAGAGGTGAACTGAGCAATGAGGTGATGAATGGCATTGTGGGATATTATACATACACACATATTTTTTTATTTAAAATTATAAAATAATTTTAATTGAATCTCACTTTTAATAAAATAATTATTAATTTTTAAATACTTCTAAAAAATACGTTATATTTTTATCAAAACAAGTACACACGTAGATATAAGAACCTTAAATTTTCAAAAATAATTTTAAGATATTTTATTAACTTAAAATAGAAGATAATTTGATGATAATAAATTTTTATTAATAATATTTTTAATATTATTGTTTAAGTGAAGAGAGAATTAAAATCATTATTGTAATATAAAAATTAAATGTATATATTTAAAGTCATATTAAGTGAACATATTTTTAAAAATTGATATTTTATTTTTTAAAAAAATAAATTTTAAAAAATATCATTATTAAATTTTATTAACATGTAAATCTTATTTTAAATTATGTTATTGGGGAAGCAAAATATTAGAACTACTATCTCGGCAAGATTTTTTAGGGGTTTAAAAATATAGGATAATTTTAGTTTTTTAGGATATAATTATTATTATTTTTTAAAATAATGCTTATTAAAAAATTATTTTATATTTATTTTAGATAAAAATACTTTTTTAAATAAAAAGAAATATAAAAAATATTGTTAGTTTCATAAAAATATTTTATAATTTTAAACGAAAAAAATATCCATTAATTTTTTTGGGATAGAGAGGGGGGCGGCTAACCATATGATCACATTGTCTAGGCATCATTATTGTCTTTAATGCACAAGAGGTCAAAAACATTGCGCGTCATTGTTGTTGTCTATTCGCCGCCTAGCCGCCTACTGCTATCTTTTTCTTTTCTTTTTTGGAGGTAAACTATTCTCTATTTCTTTCTCCCAAACGCCTGCTATTATTGTGTCATCCAATATGATTTACAGTAAATTTTTAAGTAGACTTGGTCCATCAGATTATTTATAGAAATAATAATAATAATATATTTTTAAATTATATAAATAATATTTTAATTTATCAAAATATCATAATTTTTTTAAAATTTTTAGAGATATTTTTATCATTAAGAAATTAATATCAATGACTAACATTAATCTTAATTCAAGATTTTAAATGTGAACTTGCGTGTTGTTGAATTCTTACAATTTAAAAAAAATTATGAATTTTGGCAAAAAGCTTGTGAAAAATAATTGCTATTTGAATAAACGATAATTTAATTATTTATATTAATTTTTTAATGATAAAAAAGTCTTTAGGGATTTCATTAGTATTATGGCATTTTAAAGGATCAAATTATTATTTATGTATTTTGAAAGGATTTTATTATCATTTTTTCTTATTTATATATCAATATAATGAAAGCATGATATGTAGATAACATTAAATATAAATGAATAATAATATTAATGATAGTATAGAGCAAAAATACAATAAATTAAATAGACATGCTATTATAAAAAT